GGGTTAGACCTTAAGTATAACCAATGGGTGTTTGTAAGAAGCATTGAACATGAACCAATTTCTAGTTATGACTTGGACCTTGGAGATAGATAAGAAAAATTGTCAAGTTGCATATAACCCCATACTTGATAATGATACTACACTAGGTTTTCGACTAAGTTTCTTTTGATATATTAATCAATGAAATCCACTTATGATCAAATAGGGTATGTTGGAGTAGTTTGTGATATTACCTAAGTGTGTGATTATTGTGATATGATCAACCACTTTATCAAACAAAGTTAATGTTGGGGTTTACACTCTATTTAGTGGAAACCTAAAACTGTTAGCAATGGATTTAAACTGTATTTGAGATTTCTTTGCAAAATGCATTTATACTTATATTATGATATTTTTTGAAAATAATTCACAAAATGTTTTAGTCAATGATCCATCTAAATAGAGAGTGTAACACTGCATTTTGTAACTAAGAAAAATGTCATTCATTGTGAGTAGTGTTTTGATCATTATGTGCTGAGAGGTTAAGAGCTAGAGACCATTATAGGGCTAAAACCTGACAAGCTTTATCTCATATCAATCTATTATCTTTGGGCTTCATAGGGTGGTTGAAACCAAATATCACTTAAACTTAAGTGTTGGGCCTAAACTGAGCCCAATTTGATTGGTTTAAGGGTTCACTGACATTGTGTAATGAATTCGGTCTAAGTCTTTCTAAATATGGAATGAACCCATGTGGACTAATATGAAACCTTTATGGATCCCATGCAATACATTGTTCATGCCCAATAAGACTTGCAATAGTTATGTACATGAACATTTAAAAGAAACGGGCCTTAACCCATTACTAGTAAGAGTAGTTAGACTAAATTGTCATATGATATGGGTCAAATATGGGAATGGATATGGGTTTGAACCTCCATTATCTCAGTGTAATTACATTAGGAAAGAGGTTGGCCTACACCTTTCTAGTCACTCTCTTATACTCTCTCTAGATTCCCATAAACCCTAATTTGAGCCAGCTTAGGAAGAAACTGTTTTCCCATCGTTCTTTGTTGTGTTTTTGAATAAAAATATAAGAAATAAAGTGGTTCTCATAGCTGCATACTTCCCAACTTGGTTGGAGATTGAATTCAGACAAGAAGGTGTTCAAAGATCGACTTATAGATACAACTACACCATCTTTAGTTAGGATTTGCAATTTGTGAACTCCATATTATGTATGCACAATTTAATTTTGTGTTTCTAATCTGGTATAGTTTATTGCTAGATCTCTCTAAAATATTAGATTTTCAAATACCAATAAATCATTTCTTGACATTTATAAAAAAGGAAATTAATTCTCTTTTTTTTTTGTAATTCGACCATCAACCCTAATAGGTTGAGTCATGAAACAATTGAGTTTCAACCTAATCAACATGTATTCATTTAATTTCACATTAGTAATTTGTATGTAGGGTTTCACAGATGAATAACATTGCCCACAATCCTGGAATTAGGGGTGTCAATTGACAGGTGTTGGATTGGATCCTGTCCAAACCAAAATCAATTTGGACAATTTGGATGGACTAATATGACATATTGAATTGGGCTAGTCCAAACATAATGGTCCAAAGTATTTATTGGATTGGATTGGACATAGTCCATTTGTAATGGATTTATATTGGATTGAGCCAATATTTGGTCTATTGATAAAAGATAAGAATGTAGGTGTTAATGGACTAGGTCTAGGTTAGAATGAATCTAAATTAAAACAAATTTGAATAGAATGGACGGTCCAAACATTGAGTTGGACCAGTTCAAAATGGTCCAAAATATTCATTGGATTGGATTGGACTTGGTTCATTTGTAATGGACTCACAATGGATTGGACCAAATCTAGTCCAATTGACACCCTTACCTGGAATCTCTAGATGAAACTTCACTTATGTTAGAAGACATCTTGAACTCATACAAATTGATATTCATCAAGTAGAACAAGTCAAACAACAACACCTCCCTTTGCTTATACTCTAAAGTTAACCTTGCTTAGAGCCCACATGAATCTCTTATATTGTCACCTTTTTGTAGTCCAACAGCTAGACTTGAGAAGTAGGTTTGTCTAGTCGTCCACATGACCATTTCACAACTTCTCGCCCTATGTAGGCATACCAATAACTACTATGGGCCTCCTGGGAGATTCTTTTATGGAAAAAACCTAATGTTTAGAAAATTATACCAGAACGACCGGTCGAACCGATTGAACCGTGACTCGAGACCTTAGCTAATTCGATCATGCCCCAATAACTACTTTGGTTAAAAAGTGGTGAAAACTGGTTGATCGACCAGTTTAACTAGAAAACCACTAAATTAATCCCAATTTCATGAAACCGCCTAGGTCCTTAACTAATAGAATTCCTAAAATGTGCTCAGCAAAATTCAAACCTATGACATATTATCTTCATATATTACTTAATTACCAATAGTTTAATTATTACTATGACACCATGCTTATTTTCAGATTCATGAGGAAAGAAGAGAAAATATAGAAAGAAGATGAAGAAAATGAGATAAGAGTATAGGACGACACACTATAATCAACCCATAAAATTGATATTTATATTAGGGTTATAATAGTATATGATATGACCAAGGTTTAAAATTTCAATACAATATGCCCGATAAAGGGCGTACTGTATTGTGTCTTTGAAAAACATTTACATGATACGTATGGAAATCGGACATCTCGTCTTTTTTTTTTCATGCGTATCGGACCTGTATCGGATTATATCGGGGTGTATCAACGAAAAAAAATACAGCCAAAAACTGAAAAGAAAAGGGAAAAGCAAGATTTTTTTCCTTGAAATAAGCCTTATTTCACCCCCAAATGAATCTAAAACTCCAAACCTCATTCCTAGAGTGCTACATTTGCAAAAAATTGCAAGAAACAAGTGTGAATCATTATTTTTTTTTGAATTTTGAAAAAATATGGAAAAATAGGTGAAAATTTTCCATTTTTTATAATATCGTGTGATTTCTTTTTTTCTTGAATGTTTAAATTTATGTTGATCTACATTTCTTACATTCAAAATCATATTTTTTTGTGTTATTAATAAATTTATGGAAATTTCATGAAGATATTTGGGGAAAATATAAATTAAAAAAATGAAAATGTAATTTTTCCTGCCTTTAAAGACTAAATATGTTTTAGATATATGGATTTATCTATCATATCCATAGAGCAATTGAAATTTCTTCTTTAGTATTTTTTTATTTTTATATTTTTAGAATTACAAAAGAAATAATAATTAATTATATTTTATCATTTGATCACAAAAATTTAATATATTATAATTTTATGGATGATCTTTCATATCTACAAACCAATTAAAATTTTTTATTATTATTTTTTATTTTTAGAATTAAAAATTAATTAATTATATTTTATCATTTGATCACAATGATTGAATATATTATAATTCTATGGATGATCTATCATATTCACAAAGCAATTGAAGTTTCTCCTTTAATAACTATTTTTTGAATATATTATATAATGTTTATTTTTTATATAATTTTTGAAAATAAATAAATAATCATTGATTATATTTTCACTTAGAAGTTTTGCAAATGCATGTTTTATGGTTGGATAGGAGAGAATTGAGTTTTTCCCATCCCATAAAACATTAAAACTTAAGAATTATAATTTATAAATTATAGTTAAGAATGAGATTTTTAATGAAATTATAATTACCTATAATATATTTTTTTATAAAACCATTAATATATATTAATTTAATGTATATACACCTCATTGAGGTCTTATATTTAGTGCTATTGATGTATTTTTATGATTTATTAAAGCATTTATAGTGTTTCCAAGTGTATTTATGCGTATCTTAGTTTTTATCCAATACGCATACGTATCCAAGATGTATCCCGATACATTTCTTAAAATTGCCTTTCTGATACACTTATCGTTTTCCAATATTTTGAACCTTGGATATGACCATCTTACCCCCCATTAATTATAGTAATATAAGTTAAAACAAGAAGGCCTAGATCAATCAATCACTTAATAATAGTACAACATAATAGAACAAAGTATGGTATAACATAAATGGGCCGAAGCACATATTGTTAAGTCCCACAACATACCACATTACTTGGTTGACTGGGTGGCTGGTGAGCTCAACTTGTTATGTTTGGGATAGTGGGCATGGAACACTCTAGAAGCTTATCCAAAAATAATTGGTATTGGATTATAAATCCACTAAAGTTCTATTGAACTGATCATGGCTATTTAATTCTTCTTACTCAATCCAATATAATTGTAAGCTTGGTTTTGTGCATGCAGGTGGCCTTGCTTACATTCCCATGGAAAAGAAATAAACATGTGTTTATTTTCCGGTATATAAATGGGTGCAGTGAAAAATAATACTTTTAGATTTGGATAAATTATTTATGTATGCACCGAAAATCATTAATATGTGATAAAATAATATTGTCACTTCAATAATGTAATTTGTTTGAATAAATTAGTCACTGTACACCTTTACCTAAGTGAGTTTATGTGGATGAATATTTCCCTAAATCATGAAACACTTTGTCCAAATAAATGCATTTACCCATATACCGAGAATCCAAAACTAGAACGAGACCTAAGTATTTTGCTACACATGGATTAGAGTGGTGGGGCACTTAGTGAGGCTGTTGGAAGCCATTGGCATTTGACTAACCCCACATATGTGAAGCTGCCGTATGAGAGTCACAAGCGAAGAATGTCTCACTTTCAGCAATTGAACTGTTCATGGATATCATTTGAATTCCATGGAATTGGGTTTTCCACCTCTCCACAGTGCTTTTCGGTCATTTTAATGATATACCCAACGTAAATCTCACGGTTAAAAATGGGTCCTGTACCAACCTAGAATCTAAGGTCAATCATCTGGCCTTGTGTACGGCGGAGGATGTAGCATCTATAGAAGATGTTAGACATTAGTTACAGTGATTATCATGCTTCCTATTCTGTCTTCTCAAAGGCGGGAACGACTAAGAAGTGAAGTAGTCGGGAAGGGAGATCAGAGATGTCGAACGTGGTGGTGCTGGACAACGGCGGGGGGCTCTGTAAAGCCGGAATCGGCGGCGACAGAGACCCATCGGCGGTGGTTCCCAACTGCCTTGGCCGCCCCTCCTCCTCCAAGAAATGGCTCGTCGCCGACCAACTCCAAGCCTGTGAAGACCTAACCTCCGTCTCCCTCCGCCGCCCCTTCGACAGGGGCTACCTCATCAACCCCGACCTCGAGAAAGAAATATGGGACCGCATCTTCCGTTCACTCCTCCGCGTGGACCCTACCGCCTCCTCCCTTCTCCTCGTTGAGCCCCTCTTCAACCTCCCCTCCATCCAGCGTTCGACCGACGAGCTTGTCTTCGAGGACTTCGGCTTTCGCTCTCTCTACGTCGCCGACTCTCCCTCCCTCGTCCACCTGTATGAGGCTAGCCACCGGCCTGACGGACTTATCTCGAGGGCGCAGTGTAGTCTCGTCGTCGACTGTGGGTTCTCGTTCACCCATGCCGCTCCGGTGCTGCAGAATTTCACCATTAATTATGCTGTTAAGCGGCTTGATCTTGGGGGCAAGGCTCTCACTAACTACCTCAAGGAGCTTGTGTCTTATCGGTCCATCAATGTCATGGATGAGACTTTTCTCATCGATGATGTCAAGGAGAAGCTCTGTTTCGTCTCGCTCAATGTTCCTCGCGACCTTCAGATTGCCAGGTACAGGAAATAGCAAATAAAGATAATTCTTTATTGCATTAATATTTCCCCATTCATTTTGCACCGTTAAATCGTCCATCTGAAATGCTTAGGGTTTCTGGTAATGCAATTGACTATTCTGTAATGAAATGCCACATGGACATTCTTCTTTTGGAAGGATAGGGTGGAAAAATTAAGTTCTTTAATTTCTTTTTTTTTTTTTCAACGGAAAAAGGTTAATCAAGGACCGTTGGCTGCATGTAAAATGAAGGAAACCAATGGTTTCCTGAAAATTACTATTTTACAGTGTTTAGTGTTACAGCTGCAATGGCTGTGGAAAACATATATTTTCCAAAAAGTGAATTCTAATTGTAGGAAAATGTCATTCTTCCTAATTTTATTTATCTCATTCTTTTTTTTCCAAGTTAAGTGAACCACCGGGAAAATTAGGAATACTGATGCCCATTTTCTCTTAATGTAAAAGAGGCACTCGAATGGAAATATCTCTACTTGGTTTCCTAACATTTGATTACAAAGTGATCATTCTCAGCACTGTAGGTTAAATTATTTGCAAAGAAACCAAGAACGGGGAAGTTGAGCACCATGTTTTTGGTAGAATTAAACCACGCTAAATGTGTTGGAAATGCCTTCTAGACTAAGTGCCAAGGCATACCAGAAAAAGGATAAACTTTATAAGCTGAGTAGCTTTATAAAGATTAGCCATGTCTTGCATGCTGGGCAGTCAAGAATATGTCTCAGGTGAAGATGGAGAGATGAATTAGTGTTGTAGCATGATGATAATAATATAACCATAAATGAATGTGTTTCAAGGATGCTAAAGCTAGCTTCGTTATTCTTTGGGGCAGTTACTTTGGCTAAATTAGATGGTCTCCACACCATTAATGTAAATGAACTTCCATGTCAGTTGTGCCCCCACAAATAGAAGAGGTAACAGATAAGTACCAATTGGCATATGGATTTACCCATACCTAGATTGGTCTTCATGATCCAATTGAAGTGTATGGAACGTATCATACACCTAAATGGGGTTCAGCTATTATTGAAATCATTCCAAGGATATCATACTCCTTTTTCTTTGTTTACATCTTCTCTATAGACATAATTTACAGTAGGAGACCTGCCAATAATGATGTGTTTATTATGTTAATGGAATTACAACTGATTATGTTTTTATGTTTACAGGAGACCTGGAAAGGATAACCTCTTCAGATGCACATATGTCCTTCCTGATGGTGTTGAACATATGAAGGGTTATGTAAAAGATCTGGATGAAGCACAAAGGTACCTCACATTGCCAGATGAAGCCTGGTTTCCATCACAAGGAATGAAGGATGGATGTGCAGAAGTTCCAGAAAAACCTGAAGATAGGAAGAGAATTGATTTGACAAAAAATGTAGTGTCTAAACAGCTTCTTCATTGTTAATGAATGCAGAATGTTTAGATCTTATAAATACTTTACATTGTCTACAGGAATTTAACTTGACAAATGAACGATTCCTTGTCCCAGAAATGATTTTTCGGCCTGCTGACTTAGGTATGTATTCACATTTCATGCTGTGTAGCATTTGGATTGTAATTTCCATTTAATACCGGTTATCAAAAAAAAAAAAAAAGAAACCTTTTCATTAGTGGTGCCCAACATTGGGAAATGGCCTTTTACCTTTTCATTAGTGCATCCATGTTCAGTGGTGGTGGTTTTTACAAAGAAATAGAAGGAACTCCGTTGCCATTTCTTCAGTCTACTGTTTTATTTGTAGTGGTTACACAAAGGCTAAAACCTCTCTTGGACATATAGACATTATCTGAGTTACTTTTCAGCATTTGCCCAGATATCCTCTGAATAATATTAGTTTATCAAGATACTAAGAGAATAGTTTATGTTGAATTAACAGGTCAGATAATGAAGTATGTATTTAGCAGTGTTTCAATATACTAGGCTGATCTTTAGTCTCACTTCATGGCAAGGCTCAAAGAAACTGCCTCAAGGTCTTTTTTGTTTTTTGAAAGCAAAAAGTTGAGCCTTGAGGCTCATATCTGGAGGCAAAGTAGATTCCTACATTGCTTTCAAGGGTCATTTACATGACCATTTTGCTTTGAAGGATCATTTACACGATCATTTATTCATTTATATACTTTCCTAAATTAGGTGCCATTGCTTGCTGCAATGATAAAATCTTGAGTTGACAAACATGAGAACACAGATTTGAGTCTGAGTATGACCACTCTGTGCAAAAAATGCCAAAGGTTAGGTCTGTATACGGTTTACCCCTCCCAAGACCTTGGATAACCAGGACCAACATCAGGTAATGGCCTTTTAAAATTTAATTTTCCAATTTTCCTATATAAATGTATAATCATATGCATGTTTTAAAATTTTCCTTGTATTAGTTTGATGTTTCTTTTAAAAATTGGTAATTTATGAAGCTTAAACTTCATGCCTTGAGATTTTTGTCTCACATCTAAAAATCTGGTGCTTTACCTCACATTTCCATGTTTCTGCACATTCATAATTAGTATATGAAGAAGTATGAAATATTAAATAGGTATCTATGAAAGTGTAGGAGGATCATTTACAAGTCTTGATTTGTCATGTTCTTTAAAGGAATGAACCAAGCTGGTCTGGCAGAGTGCATAGTACGGGCTGTAAATTCCTGCCATCCTCATCTTCACCCAGTACTCTATGAAAGGTGGGTTTAACAATCTTGAAGCATTAGCCATTGGAGCTTGAAGCACATTCCAATTAAAGAAAGTTGTTTCCATGTTTATGTGGACAGCATTATTTTGACTGGTGGAAGCACATTATTCCCTCGATTTGCTCAAAGACTGTAAGCTTCTGCAAACACTTTTTAATTTGTCAAATAAAAATGACATTCCTGGCCATAATGTTTTAACTAATGCAGAGAAAAGGAGCTTCGACCTCTTGTACCTGATGACTATCATGTACAAATAACAACTCAAGAAGAGTAAAATTTTACCCTAAGCTGTAGAGTTGGTATTTGCATTTCTGTCTTTTCCATTTGGTATAAATTTGTATTTCTCTTACTGCTTTGTCCAGTCCAATTTTAGGTGTATGGAGAGGGGGTTCACTTCTTGCATCTAGTCCTGATTTTGAGGCAATGTGCGTCACCAAGTCCGAGTATGAGGAGTTAGGATCTGCCCGCTGTCGACGACGGTTTTTTCACTGAGCACCCAAAGTACAAATGTATGTATCGAGATCCTATATGGTTGTTGACGCAACTGTTCTATGTGATGATTTTTCCTATAAAAAAATCCCCATATTTATTTTCCTCCTGGCATAGAGTGTCATGCAGAGAAAATTCTTTGAAGTGTCTCTTTTTATCTTCTTCATAGCAGTAACTGTTCTTCTTTGTGGCAGAGGAAGGTCTCTGGAAGAAACCTTCAGAATTTCTGTATGAAGCTGTTAAACGGAATTGGACAAATATATCCATCATGTCAACATGGAAAAGCTACAGCACAAGCTGCTTGGACATTTCTCTGTTAATGGAGTGCTTTTCAGATGCTTAAGGCTTCTGTTTTTATGGTAAATGTAGGTGCCAAGATGCCAGAGCCTACTTGGAAAAATACAAGGTAAAAGTGGCATGCAAAGGCTATATCAATGAAAGCAAATGTTCTCTCGCCATTATTGGGTGCATGCAATCATAACGAGGAATATGGATGGGACGAAGTAACACCCAAAGTTGGATGCAGTTTAATCTTTTTGTTTCCAACGCGACCATGTTACGTAAGCCAACTACTTCTGGCCTACTCTACTAGACTGCTGCTAGAAAGGTAAACCGTTTCGTGTATTATTTTGAATGTCATAATGAACGATATATTGCAGCTTAGTAATCTTTGCTTTCAGTGCCTTCAGTGAGACTGCGTTTATCATATGGTATATAATGTTCTAACTTTCATTATGCTTCAGAAGAATTGTGAGAGATTTAACCGCATTTTAGTTGCATTGAATTCTGTGATATGGATGTGCAGAGTGTTGGATTTCCGTTTGCTGTGATTTTTGAGGATTTGGTTCATGGATCAGATCGTTTTTTTTTTCCTTAGGCATGGATCAAATCTTTTTAGAGACGTTGTGGTATGGCTTTATATTTGCTGTAATCACCTCTTTTCAGTTGCATCGATTCCTGTGATACGTCTGTATCTGTACATCTCCCAGAAACAAAAACTACCACAGTAATAAGAAAGCCAATTCTGGTCATAATAGAGTCCAAATCTAAATGTTGCATCGCAGGAACAATTCTGTATAAAGTCTTTCTAAATTCATCTACTCTCTGGTTCTGATTGAACATTTGAAAAATAGCGAAGGCTTAACAAGTCTTCCAATTCATTCCGTCAAATCTGACAGATACAACCCGTCAAATCTAACAGATACAAGGTAAATTTCAGCTCTTTTTTAAAATTTACATTTAGGTCAACTTATGAAAATTTTTACCATCTTAGTTGTGTATCATGTGACATGTCACATCATGTGATTTAAAATTTTTGAAAATATAAAAAATATCCTTTGAAATAAAACACTGTTTATTATATTCTTACTTAAGAAGACGAAACTGAGTTATAACTTTTGCAAGGGAATGGTAATGTTTGCAGCCATTAAATCTGGGCGTGGGAATGAGAAGAGTTGAGAAGCATTTGGATGTTTGATAAAGAAAATTAGATGACATTTAAAAGGCATTTGTCTTTTCATATATCACAATGGCTGGTTAACATTAGGTATTAAGTTGGCACATTTTAGAAGTTTAGGTATTAGATTGACATGTTATGAAGTTTGGGGACCAAAGTAAACCCAAAATACAATTTCCTTAAATCTTTTACCCTTTGCGGTCAAAAAAGGTCTTTTACCCTAAAAATAACTTGAGAAGTGTGTTTACATGGGTATTCTTTATAATACGTATGCTTAACGAAAACAAATGAATGTGAGTATCTGAATAGGGCTATCAATTGGTCGGGTCTGGGCTGGAACCAGCTGGAACAAGAATCGAATTGATTTGATCGATTGTCCCAGGTCTGACCCGATAGATCTGATTATAATAAATAAAAAACAAATATTTATGTTTAATATATATTAAATACTCTCTCTATATATAGGATTGGGTTTGAACCGGTTTGGGACTAGATGAAACCAGTTTCGAACTGATAGTAATCGGAGCCCTATATCAGGACCCAGAGCTGACCCGGTAGTTCTAGTTCTCGAAACCAAAATTGGCCCAATCAAGTTGGATCCATCTGGTCGGATCCAATCCATTGATAACCCTATATCTGAGTATATTATTCCTGTAAAAAGCGTTGTCGTGATAACGAAAAATGAACAGGGCCTAAGGTGAAAATGTACTTGCATCAGCATTACATCTTAATTGTAGAAAAAAATGGCAATTGCCATTTTTGGATCGTGCCAAAAACATGACAAACAATTAGAGGTAGACCTAAAGATTGCGAGATTTGTTGGATTAAGCTGATATAAACCTATTTCTACTATTTTCCTTTTATTACGTACGTGTGCAGTGAGAGAAATCTAGACAAATGCAGAGAATCAGAAGAATATTCAAACTATAATATGAAAGCAATCAAGAAATGGCCATTATCTCCGTCAATGCTGGCAATCTCTAGTTGTCTACTAACTAGAGGGCGAGGCCTACGATAAAAAGAACCACACGGCCACATGGATGCGATGCACGATGCGTTGATACTCTGAAAATCAAAGGGAACCATAGAAATGGATTGTTAGAGCAGAGAAATGACATTTCTGCAATCTGCACACGTTCAACTGAAAACCAATTTTTGGATAGAAACACCCGTCGAGGCTTCAGATATCATGCCAAATGAAGATTGATCAGAAATCCCGAATGAATGTTTTTCTCCTAATCCTAGACCAGGGCTGAGTTTGAATATTGTCAATGATCCCTTCTCTCAACTCACTGCCTTCTTGATAAGAGGATCAAAATATCAACACACCCGATACCCTCAATTGGGTATTCGTGAGTATTGATATGAGTGATATTCATCATTTATTTATTTATTTATTTATAGGTATATGCTGTTAAAGCTCTCAAAGTTTTAAAATCCCCAAACTTTTTCTACATGGGTGTATTTATGCATTTTGGGGTCTACATTACAGATATGATACTCCTGATATATGGGTGTATTTTATCGATATTTTGATCCTTTATGAATGTCAAATTTTCAGAAATTCTAATAAAAAATACATTCAAAACATATGGTAGCAAGGTTCAAGTATCGGTATGAATTGTACGATATATAGTTTTTTTTGGGTACAATACGATATATATATATATATTGTTGAACCCACCAATATGCTAAATACCAGGAGTTAGAACCTGTGGCTAAGGTTAATACTTAAAACCCTTTATGTCCAGGCTCAAATCTTAGAACGTAAAAAAGTTTTTATACAAGAGTGTTGTCCCTCCAAATTATATTGATAATTAGTAAATTTTCAAAAATAAAATACATGATTTTTATTTTCCAAGGTATTTAATAAACTATACATGCATTTATGCATATAAATTATAAAACACACCATGCACTCATAAAGGGCGAAAAATTTTCAACATAAAACGTGTAAAGAGTTAGATGAAGATATTGCAATGACGAATGAATAATTCAAATGATATGGAAGGTATTCTACAATGATATCTTTATACAAATAAAGAATATTGACATACAAAACCCACCACTAACACCCAACATCCAATCACCAATCACCAATCATTATCTTTATATCCAAAACTTTTCCGGCAACAATTTTGGGCTCATCAGGGTACACTGTACCAGTAACTCATCTTGAAAACTGAGTTACTATAAAACTATATTGCTAATTCACGAACAGCTGCAATACATCTCCAATATCCGAGACATGATTTCTTCAATAATGAGCAACCAATCAGTGATATCACTGCATGCGATGTTGCTATTCCAATCTTGAGCAACCAACTAGGTCAAGATGTTGTCCCCAAGATCACCCAAGAATTGCGCTATGGTGCTTTCTGATTTGCTGGTTTCTCCAGTTGGAATCGTCAAAACAAGTCAAACTGAAATCAATGCAAGCCAAAGCTATTAAAACACTGCATTAGCTGCGAACTCTTTAGCTGTACCAAATGAAGCCAGCAATCTTGAAAATCTTGATGTTAAAAACCTCCAAACTGGCAAATTGATTTGTTGCTTGAAATCCTTGATTCCAGATCCACCTAGATGGGATCTTCGAATGGAGAAATTGAAGTACATTGCAAACCATTGTTGCTAGTCAAAAGCAGGTTGTAAATCCATGCAAAGATGCACTAGTTTCCTCTGGTATTGCCCATAACATTCACTCACTGCAATCACATCTTGATGATCAGGATTCAGGTGGAGCAAGATAGATTTTTGGTTTTCAACTGATAGCCTCAAAAGATCATCTGAATTCCCTGATTTGGAAGCAATTTGTGCATTTATCTCGTGGCAAGCAAGTAAGAAAAGGGCAGCTGTGTCTGGCTGCTGTGCATCACGGAATGCAGCTAATGCTTCCTGCAATGCACCAGCTGCAACATACAATATTGAAGCCCTGCATATTTTGATTAAACCAGCAGTTCAGTAATTTGATGAATATGACACAACTGAAAATCTTCATTACATAAAAGGGCCAGGTTACCTCCAGAAGCTATGCTCTGTGTGAAGGACATGATCAGCCCATCTCTGCAACACCCTGTAAGATGGCAAGTACCATCACTCTTCCCATTGTGAAAGGATTAAATTGTTAATATGAACTTGTCATTCATACATTCTGAAGTTGCAATAGACAATGTTGTTAAAATCTTATGATTTATGATACGATTCACAATTTAAATCATGAATCCCAAAGATTTTGATTTGAGTCTTATGCCTGAATCCTTTTTTACAAAAATCTTATGATTTTTATTTGAATCCTACAATTTGATTCATGAATATTACGATTTATATGATTTTTACAATTCACTATGATTCAAATAAATTCAATTAAATCCATAACTAAAAAAATGATTTACTTATATTATTTAAGACCAGATATTGAGTTTGTTTAACATCATATGTAGGCTAAAGATCCATTGTATGTTAATTATTTTATTTTCAAGTTAAACTTGATTTTATCATCTTAGGCTTCTATTGTACAAGTGTTAAATTCTATTCTTTTAGGTACATATATGGTAAACATGGATTACAAATGAGATAAAATAATATTCCTATATATATTTAACCTTTTAGTATATTTCTATGTGTTTTTTTTTTATATTTTTTAAAAAGTATAAATAATCTTACAATTTACGATGTGATTATGATTATTAAAACATTGCCAATCATTGAGTTTGTTTTACATCATATGTAGGCTAGAATTATTTTATTTTCAAGCAAAATTTGATTTTATCATCTTAGGTTTCTACTGTACAAGTGTTAAATTTTATTGTTTTAGATACATATATGGTAAATATGGATTAAATTAAAATCATATTCCTATATATATATATTTAGCCTTCTAGTGTATTTACATTTAAATTTATAAAAAATGTAAATAATCTTATGATTTATGATATGATTTACAATTTGATTTGATTCAACTTTCTCTATGATTTATTATACGATTATGATTTTCAGAACTTCGTCTTACATGCTTGTTGACTTTGTGCAACAATTCAAAAGTGTGTGTGAATATGAAATAATGCTGGTATCATGTTTCCATTGGATGGTAATATATTCAAATTCCTCCTCATGGTAATACAAATTTGAAAAAAACAGAGAACTTGACAGAAAGATGTTACATGACCTATCAATATAATCAGAAAAGCCAAAATATGAACCTTGCATAATCAGATCCCTGTAAATGTGTAGCAGCTAAAGTTGCTGCATCTGTCCAGCATCCAGCATCTTGTAGCTGCAGATAGAAAAAATTCATTAGAAGCTAGTTTATGTAATTCACTTTTCATGTTGAAGTCAGTGACCTAATCCAAGTGTCAAGGGATATATATTATAGTATTAAATTCAAATGGATAGGTTATCTACAATGTCATAAATATCCTACCTGAGGTACTAGCCCCATCTTCAATACATGCATACATACCAAGAGAGAGGCCACAACACTTGTGTCTATGGGGTTGATAGTTTGATATGAATAGATAAGCCCAAGGCACCATAACAAAAAATTGTTGTACTTAACATGATCTTTTACTATCAATTATATTTACATTATGCAATTTTACTATCATGAAATCTCATTCCTGTATCGAGAAGCAGAAAACTACAGGTAAACTCATGTCCAGGTAAATGTAATAATGGAATGGTGATCAACTTCTGAATGGAATGTAAGTCAGAATTCAATAAAATAGATAATGGTGCAAATTTCTAGCAGCGAGAAAGTGGATGACCACCTCTAATATTTGATCATGGATAGCAAAAGCTTATACAAGATCCATTTGATCCATTTCTGCCTTGGAGAAGTTCTAGAATCTATTGTCTCCCCTGCCAAGGGGTCTTTTTTAATGGATACTATGATCTGCCATAGGAGGGAGTTAAAGAGAAGAACAGAAGAGTGAAACAGGTTGGAGAACAAGAAGCATAGTGGGTGGCACCACACAATCTTGTTTAAATAGGGTAAAACATAAAATAGGGTAAAATAACTACAATATCCCTGTGGCAAGAATAAGATAATTAACACTCCCCCTCTAGTTGGGCTGTGTACATCATGCATTCTCAACTTGTTACATATCGCACTATGGCGTTGGGTAGACATACTTTTAATGAATATATCAATTAGTTGATCTCTAGAAGTAACAAAAGGAAGACACATTTCATCCTTCTCCACTTCCTCATGTATAAAATGCTTGCAAATTCAACATGTTTTGTCCCATCATGCTGAAATTCTTGTACCAGATTTGTTGTCACAAATAAAAGGATATGGCAAAGGAAAACTGATGGAGTACAGGAGAAGGCCAATAAGTTCTATGCAAGTTGGGACCACTCCAAGACACATAAGAAGTTTGGATGATGTCACTAATCCAACCGAGTAATCAATTACCAAGTTAGTGTCAGCGCAAAACTTCTATTCTGGTTTGAATTTACCAAGTAAGTGCCAACACGAAATTTCCATCTTAGTTTGAATTTACCAAGATAGCGCCAGCACGGAATTTCCATCTTAGTTCGAATTTATCAAGATAGCGCCAACACGGAATTTCTATCTTACTTTGAATTTACCAAGCTAGTGTCAACACAGGACTTCTATTCTAGTTCATAATTACCAAATTAGTATTAGATCATGATTTCCGAATTTTTGTTCAACCAGGACTTTCTTTTTGAAGAGTTTTAGTAGGATTCTATTATGGAGTATTTTCATAGATTAGGAAGCTTTCTTGTAGGATCCATAAGGGTGTATGCCTATATAAAGAGTAGCTAGGGGAAGACTAAGACAATTTTTGATATTGAATTTTCTCTTAATTATTCAGTGAAGAATTCTTCTTCCTAGTAGTTCGACTTCTACTATTTTCTTTGAAGCTTCTCTAAATGTGTTTTGTTTCCGTATTGCGCCAAAGACCCAACTCAGTTAGCGGGTTCTCAGCTACAACACTTCAGCCACCCTATGTGCCATAGACTTATACTCGTTTTCACACTAGATTTGGACACAACTGACTGCTTATTACTCTACTAAGTCACCAAGTTTCCTTCAACAAAAGTGCATGCTAGACCTCCTATCATCAAATCAAGGGAACCAACCCAGTCAGCATCTGTAAATGCTTCCACGTGAAGATAACCATGTTTAGAGAAATTTAGATCGCTACTAGGGATTTTCCACACAGCATTGACTAACTTTGAGAGCTGTTCTTGAGGAAGATTTTGGTCCTCATTCACCATAATTTTAGGCTAAAATCAGAGGCAAATCGTTGCTGTAACTTCAGGGATACAGGTACCATCTTGGAGGTGTGTCATCTTCTTCTTCATTGTCAGTATGAGAATTGTTTGGGTGTCTAGGCGTGAACAACTACTTGGATGATTTGCCTTTGTGGACTATCAACAATCAGGTAGATAATTAGATTCTCTTGGTTTTAGGTCCAACAAAACTTGATGGAAATCCTATACGTTGATCCTTTCTATATTGGGTTAGTTCCAGTTTAAACTATGCAAATCGGTGAGTTGAATTTGGATTCAGCATATCCAAAATTTTTGAACTGCAATTATCCTCTAAATCTTTAGAGGACATACGAACTTCACTGTTCATCCATAAACTCGGTTGATAGGGCACACCAGAGTCACTTTTAATACAATCCAGCACTAAGGGAAAATACGAATTGCAATCCACAAGAATTAATTCACCATCTGAACACAAAATCAACACCACTAAACCCAGGACAACAATTGTTTTTCAAATCTAAAAAAGTATAACAACCACAGTCCAGCCCCACTATAGGTTATTTGATCACCATGATCACAAAGAAAAATATACTATTGCTGTCGCACCAAAAGAACAGGTCACACCAGACCTATGAATGCTCATACCTGGTCACAAAGGATCACACGATCCATATAAGAGGTTCGCCAGACCTACGACTGCTCATACCTGGTCACAAAGGATCACACAATCCACATACAGACGTTGGAAACTGTTAAATCCCCTCACAGCATTCAGCCACCTTGTCCTTAGAGCTTTTCTTTCTTGGCACATAACCAAGAAGAAGAGAAAAAAAAGGAAAACCTTCTCCTAGTCCTAGACCAATCACAGGTGAGTTTCTTGAGCCCCAATCTTGGAAAAACAGCAAGAAAAGAAGAAAACCACTTGATTGGTCTGTTCTCAGGCCCAGTACTTGCGCTCTGATACCATATTACCAGCAGAGAATGAAGAGGAAGAGGAGAGAGAGAGAGATCAAAAAAAGGAACTGGTGGTGCCAGCCCAAAACTATTTATATTAGAGTGACCAACAACTAATAAAGAAAGGAAAAATTACAAAAAAGTTCCTGTGGCCTAAGTAATAACACCTGTGGCCTAAGTATAAATATATATATATATATATATATATGTATGTATGTATGTATTGTACAAACTGGTTGTATGACATGGTATCAGAGCATGCTGGTCTCTGGGTTACCCTGTTATGTGATTTCAGCAAGAGAAAACACATCAGAACTCTCTGGAAAAGCTTCTGTTTGAAGGGAAACTTTACTGGCTATGTCGCCMAGACTAAGTCCACCCATTCAGAAAGTTTCAGTGAAAGAGGACTAGTATTTGGGGAGTATTGTTCTCCTCTCTAGGGCGGCAGTTTCTGAAAATCTGTACACATCAGGTTGGTGAATCCCATCTTTTGTTCACTCAGCTTGTTTAATTTATTTTCCTTCTTGGACCCCATATTTGGTGTCTCCCTAGGGTTTTCCTACTTCTTAACTGTTTTGTTGAAGTGCTAAAACAATCCTGGGGTGATTCCATTCCCCTCTTCAGTTTGACAGTCCTGAAACACTACTGAGTTGGACTGTCAACACTAGAAACCCCCACCTTGGATCTGTTCTGGCATTTTCTTTGGAGGATTTCGATTCCTCTATAGGAAGAAACATTTATGTGGACTGTACTACTGAATTTAAGTGATTTTACATATCCTCTGAATCGGTTTTCAGCTGTTTCTCTGTATTTCTTGCTGTTGCCTTGCTGCTGAAAGTTTTTCTTTCTGAGAATTTCACTTGTTTGGATGTTGGGATATTGATTTCAGCATTTGCATTGTTTTTGGAATCAAGTGTAGTGCTTAAAAAACTTGGGAATTAAATATCAATGATGTTGTTTGTTTCTCTGGACTTTTTTTTTCTTGGACTGAAATGGCTGAGAAGGTGGAAGTTATTCTGGTGAAGTTTGATGGAACCAACTACAGTATGTGAAGTTCCATTTCAACTTCTTTCTTGAAGGAAAGGGTCTTGAAGGCTATTTGAATGGGATTGTTAGTAAACCTGATGAAACAGATACTAAGGCCTTTACACAATGTAAACTTGATAATGGGAAATTAGTCTCCTAGATTCTGAGCTCCATTGTACTTCACATTTCTGTTCCCATGAGAAGACTGTGAACAGCCTATGAGATGTATTCTTACTTGAAGAAGGTTTATCATCAATCCAACATGTCAAGACAAGAATACTATGTAGGCTTCATCAATTTATGGGCAGAATATGAACTGGTTAACACTGATCCCTTTGATCCCCATCAAACTTGATGGAACAAATTATTTAGCTTGATAACAATCTATAAAGATTCATGTCTATAGTAGAGGTAAACTGGGGTTTCTTACGGGTAGTAAGGAGAAATTGTGAGAGACTGATCCTACATATGAGAAATGGATACAGGATAACTATACAATTATTGGATGGTTGGTAAATTCTATGCAGTTCCACATAAGTCAACATTATCTTTGGATGACTTCAACCAAGGAGATTTGGGATAGTGTTACTGAAACATATTCTCAGAAATTGAATGTTGCAAGGGCCTACAAACTGAAGAATGATGTGAAAAATCTGAAATAGGGGGTGAAGAGTGTTACTGTCTACTACTCAATGTTGAAGTCACTATGGTAGGAGATTGATGTTATGGAAGTAGTTGTATGAGAAAGCACCAAGGATGCAGAGACATTTAGGAAATTTGTGGAAAAAAACAGGGTGTTTGAGTTTCTTATAGGACTTAACCCTGAATTTGATATTACGAGACATAATATTTTGGCCAAGGATGAAGTAACTCTTGCTTAGGCATATTCTATGGTGAGCAGTGAAGAGAGCAAGCAACAGGTACAGTTACAGGGTCCACCACCTTCAGAACATTTTGCACATGCTGGGATAAAACCAAAGGGGCCAACTGAGAAGAAAGAGGTGATATGTGAATACTGCAAGAAACTGAAACATACTAAGGATACTTGTTGGA